AAAAAAAAAAAAAAAAAAAAAAAAAAAAAAAAAAAAAAAAAAAAAAAGAAAGAATAAAAATGTAATAATTTTACATACTCAGGGGTAAAACAAGAGGTTTAGATTTAATCTAAAAATTCCTTCCAGCTGTAAAACGGTGTGCCTGAGATTATAATATATGTTATTATAAAATATACATGTATAATATATATTATACATTATTTCATATATGCGTGTATACACACAATTATACATATACTGAAGATGAAGAGGGCAAATGGAGAAATGGGAATGGCTTAAAAATTAACATTTGCTGAGCATTGGCTATGGCCAGGCTCTGTGCTAACTGTATTATTTCATCTTCCTGCCCATCCTGTGAGGCCAGTGTCATTATTATCCTTATGTAGAAATCAAGGCACTGAGAGATTCAGTGATTTGCCTAATTTAAGTGGTGGAACCCAAAAATCTATTTCAGAGGACCAAACATGTAAGCATTACACTATATCTCTTGTAATTTAATAGAATTTTTAATAGAATTTATTTTTAATTTTTTGGAAGGAGCACAAAGAATAAGGTTCAAATTTGGTTGTTAAAGAGATACTTCTTACCCAAGGATTTAAAACTAAAATAAGATCATAGGAATGTAGTAATAGCTGTATCTCCCACACAAGGAGTAGAATGCATAAGAAAAAGAAAAACTTTTACTTTGTGATGCTTCCTAGTTGGAGGACATTTCTCATTTTGCAGAGGAGACCTAAAGAGGTGAGGAGACTTGCTCACTGTCAAACATTTAGTTGACTATATGCTTTCATTGAAAGAGATAGCCAAGGACTCCCTAATCCCAGTCCTATTCCATGCTGTATCTTTGGGAGCTGGTATTTTATTTAATTTTATTTATTAAAATTTTTTTTTTGCGATATGCGGGCCTCTCGCTGTTGTGGCCTCTCCCGTTGCAGAGCACAGGCTCCGGATGCACAGGCTCAGCGGCCATGGCTCACGGGCCTAGGCGCTCCGCGGCATGTGGGATCTTCCCGGACCGGGGCAAGAACCCACGTCCCCTGCATTGGCAGGCAGACTCTCAACCACTGCGCCACCAGGGAAGCCCTGGGATTTGGTATTTTTAATTAAACACAGAGAGAGATGGATGATTGGAATGATGGATACATAGGTAGATAGGTAGATAGGTAGATAGGTAGATAGATAGATCTCCTAGCCTTCATGGAGCTTACAGTCTTTTGAGAAAATGACTGTGTGTGTGTGTGAGAGAGAGAGAGAGAGAGAGAGAGAGAGAGAGAGAAAGAGAGGTGAATGGTTGGTTTGATGGTTTTTACAAAGTAACCAGTCTAAATTCATTCACTGAATATAACCATAGTCTGTTGTGTCTTCGTGGATGGATTATCTAGTTAGAGGATTTTCCTTAAGGAATTTGTAAGCTGTCTCACAGGAAAGAAATCTTGTCTTCTACCTCTCCACCATCCCCAGCTCCCTCCTTCTCTGCCCCATAGTCCAATATAATTTGATGATGATCCACCATTTGGGATTGTCTTCCTCACTAATCATCTCCAATAGCCAGAACAGGTTCCTGCTGTTTGTGTGTGGATTTACATTTCATTAAGTGTTATACAGGATTATTACACAAGCTTTACTATCCCTATCAATGACAAAATACCTCATTATTTTTCCATATAAAATTTTGCTATTATCTTTTTTTTTGCTATTATATTTTATGAATGACTCTTAGATAGGTAAAGAATACAGGGAAAATTCTAACATTACATTCAAATTTGAAATGTGTTACCATTGTAACAAAATAAGCAAGTGTTAGGCCATGACTTATTACCATGAGAAAAACATTATCAATTTTAGCATATGTCTATTTAGTGTCCCAGAATTTTAAGTGAATCATAACCAGACCACTACATGTCCTACTGTGTGTTCCAGCTTGCAGGGTTCATCAGTATATTTAGTTAATGATCTAAAGTGAAATATTTCCAAATAGCACCATTCACCTTGCATATGTGCCCAATTCTTGTTTGTTTTTTAAACACTTTCTTTTGTATAGTAGAGGACACATCTTGCCCTCCATTCACAGGGCTTGTGGTTCTTTTGCTAGTAGCTGTGGTCATGGATTTGCACTATTCCCTCTCTGGCTTGGTCCACCCTTGTGACCAAGGTCATGAATATGCAACACAGCAAGTGTGAGAACAGAGCAAAATAATTGACCATTAATGAGAC